CTGAATGGTACCCAGGCAATGTTAAACTAACAGTGATGAAGCTACTAGTAAGATGTTAAAATTACACTGAATGCCTGTATGAAACTACGTAGTTACAGTGGACTTAGAGATGGACGAAAAGAGCTGATAAAGAGATGATCGGAGCAGTGAGTGAAATAGGAAGGGCAGTACGGGCCGTAACGGCAATATGAGGTTCTTGCGAAACTGAAGGCTAATTATATATGTTTATCCAAAATGTATTTCTCACTTGCCTTTTTTTTTTTTTTGCATTTACGTAGTGGTGGAAAACCTGTACCAAAAAAATTGCATAAATTATATCAAAAAAAAAAACTGTACGAAAAATGTATTGGAAAAAAGTGCATTAAAAAAACGTACGAATCAGTCACTTGATCAGTGGTTTTCTTTTATTTTTTTTAATTTTTTGTTAATTTATTACTTTTTTGTTAATTTGTTGATTTTTATTTAGATTTATGAGTATGCTTTGTACGATAATGAGAAGATTTAGAAGTTGAAATGTTATTGTTGCATCACGATTCCCTCCTCGGTAGAGCATGTATAATGGCGAATATAAGGTCGCTGTTTTTGTGTTAACAAAAAGATGTGTGGTGTGTTCTGCTGGCTTGCCCCGACGACCACGAAGGACACGGGCCCTCTAGCCCGAATCAACAACACCAAGGAATCGATAACTCAACCAATGATCCGAGGAGGAGCTGGAACATCGGGTTAGCGGACCAGACCTCCAAGGCACCAGCCCAACATTATTAGTATTCGGATTGTTTTAAAATTACTTACGATAATTATTTAACATAAGAAAGTGGCATTTTATGCAAGCAACAAACCTCGCCAAAATATGGTGCTTGATGGACCACTCCAGTGCCTTGATCTGTGGTTACAAATGTAGCAACAAGCACTCGAAATGCGCCAAGTGTACTTTTTCGATCCGCAAAATATGGAAATAGTGGCTGATAAGTTTTGCCCTCCAGCAGCTGTCCTTTGAAACGATCCAACACTTCATAACCTTCATTGTTTTTATAAAGTTCACATAATCTCTGAAAAAAAAAAAAAAAATCTCTGAAAAAACCAAAAAAATTCACTGTTATCGAATCTGTGCACAAAAGTTATTTTTGTGTCAGAAAATTTTATCCTCTTAGATTATAGCCCAATTTTCAACTCAACAACACCAAACCAGCTTTTACACTTTCTTCCAGAAAACCTAAAGCTTCGACTCACAACAGAGTGGGTGTCTCTCCTACTTCAAAATGAAAGTCAAAAATTTATCTTTCTGTGCAAAATTACCCCAAATTTTGGAATTTTTAACTTTAAAAGTCACAATTCTAAAGAAAAAAAAAATCATGGATGGCTTTATAATGAAATTAAACTGTTCGCAAAATATCGAAGTAAAGAAAAAAGAATGCTGACATAACGGTTGATAGAATGAATGGCTGCGGGCACCGGGCAAGCCCCAAGTACTAAGACGCTGTGCGATGTCTAAAATCCAAAAATATTACAAGAAATCAAAAACAGTAAAATAATCCCACCTCTTCCAGCAAAATATATTTTTTGTTTGTTTTCTCGTCCCTAACAGTGACATAAATGAGATC